AGACAGCCCGCGCACGCCCAATCTCCACGACTCGTCCCCGCTCGGGTCGCTCATCCGCCGCACATCGTCGAGGCGGGTCAGGGACCACAAGCCGTCCCAGCTCGAGCTCACCCCGCCCCGCCCGACTGCAGGCCCAGTCGCACCCGCACCACCGCACTCACCGCACTCGCCGATCCTCCACACCCAGTTCCGCAACTCGACCGCGACGGCGACCTCTGCCTACGACGACGGCGCAAGCATGCGCACCATCTCCTGGGACGCACGCTCCGCATCCACCTTCCGCGACCGGGCACAAGCACACGAGTCTCTCGCGTCCAACTACAGCGACATTGCGTCGATCACGAACAGGTACCGCGATACATGGCGCTCGTCCGGCGTCGATCCGCCTTCCGTGTATGACCCCCCAGACGTCCCCGACCTCCCCACCGTCGTCGTCTCCGCCGCCCCCGAGACCCCAGACCCGTATGCGTACGATGCTGTCCCGGGCCCGTCCAAGGGCGGGCGCATGCCCTCGCGCACCAACAACACGACATTGAACTTCTCGAGGTCCGTCGTGCAGCCTGTGACGGACATCCCTCCATCGGAGGCTGAGGAGCGGAAACGGGAGGTGTTGATGAGGAATGCAAGGCAAGGACACCCCCACTCTCCCGCATCTCCGCATCCCCCGTCGCAGTCACCACACCCCAGTCCACACTCACCGGCAATATTTGCACAAGCGGGGCCGCCTTCGCCAAATTCTGGGCCAGGCTCGCGACCCATCTCGCCCGCGTCGTATCACGAGCAGCAACCGTCTCCAAACCCGTATCCGTCGCCCATCCAGAGCCCACATGGACACCAGAACCCGTTTCCGAACGGACATGCACCCTACTCTCCCGCTCCGAACTCTGCACAGGGCCAAGGACCGCCATCTTCACCACTGCCAGGTCTCTCTCCGCGCGTAGATTCCTCGACGAGTGTGTACTCCAACTACTCCTACTACGATTTTCCTCCTACCCCCACATCCGGGGGGCACCCTTCACCCGGCCTCTCTCATTCCGCACCATACACATCCGCCCCATCGCCGCTCTCCTCCCCTCCGCACACGCCCAATCAACCGTCAACACCTACCGCACCCACAACACCCGCCGCTCCAGGCACCCCGGGCCGGAAACGTGCAAAGTCGACGACGAAGGGCCCCAAGGAGGAGGAGCCCGCGGTGGCCGCCCCGCAGACGCCGCAGGACTACCTGCAGCTCGGGATCAAGTATCACCTCGATAACAAGCTGGCCGAGTCGGCGGCGGCGTTCGAGAAGAGCGCGACGCTCAACGGCGGGTGCGGGGTCGGGATGTTGATGTGGGGGCTTGCGCAAAGGCACGGGTGGGGGTGCGAGAAGAACGAGATGACGGGCTTCAAGTGGTTGCGGCGTGCGGCGGAACTTGCGGTCGCGGACTTGGAGAAGGGCCAGCAGGGTGACATGAGCGCTGTTAGGGTGAGTCTGCGGTTCTTTCTCTTAGTGTTTGCTTCGGGGAGAGTTGGGCTGATGGGAGAGGTAGTCCGAGTTAGTGCTTGCGATCTATGAAGTCGGGCAGAGTTTCTATCGTGGGTGGGGCGTGCAGAAGGACAAGGAAATGGCTGTGGTGCGTTTGCTTTTATCGAAATCCTGGGATGAGCAGGACTGAGTTCCTGTGCAGCAATATTACCGCGTTGCAGCACGACTAGGTGACCCGGACGCTCAGCAGGAACTCGCGTTCTGCCTGTTGAACGGCAAGGGCTGTAAGAAGGACAAGAAGGAGGCGGCGAAGTGGTATCGTGCCGCGGTATGTCGGCTCCCGCCCGTTTATCCTTCCTCTCTGACCACTTCCTCTAGGTCCAGCAAGGCGCAAGCGATATCGGGCTAGCCTGGATATACAAGGAGAAATACCAATAGCCCTCTGCTCGCCTGTCTGTCTCCCTCTCTGGCTCTCGCACTCATGCTCACCCACGATACATACCACTCACGCTCGCGGCATACTGATCGATATACCCTGCGTTCTCTGTACGTGCACGGATCTCACACACCTCTTGCTCCATACTTTGCTGTATCATTATTCGATTTCGGGCTTGCTCTACGGATGGATGATATCTCGGTTGAACACGCAGAACGCTTCAGTGCTGGATGGCATTCAATGCCCTCCGCAGTCGATTCACCGCAAACCATCTCAATCGCACGAAATGTATCTTGTACGACGGAATCGTTTGCTCATCTATTACATGAGTCTGACTAGCGTCTTCCCGGATTCCGCAGAGAGCGTAGCGGCATATTGGCTAGGACGAGTCTCTGTCGAGATGTCCATCAAAATACCCCTCCGCCGGTACTGACACAGTAGCCTGCCCCCTCCGAGCTCTGTGTCTGGTCCCTCCACATACACAGCCGCAGCGATGATCGTTTGCTGAAGACCAGGCGGCCCATGCTGGACCAGCAGCGCGTTGCATGTGTAGGGACCCACCTGGGGTGCTTTCATCGCGCCCCATACGTAGCGCCGATCCCTTCGCTCGTCTCGTATCTCGTATCTGCGGTCGCCGTCCATGGCTGTTGGTGCAAAGCGGACGATCCCGTACTCTGCTATGAGGCCAGTGGGGGTGCATTCAGCCATCTCTTCTCCGGCGGAGATGTTGGCTCCTCCGGGGATCATCAGGGAACAGGGGGCCCATGTGAACCCACGGGCAGAGAGCCTCTCCCCAGGAACGAAGATTATGGAGGGATTAAAGCGACGGACCCGGAGCAGAAGTAGCTTCATCCGTTCGGGTGGGGGAGCACTCACCAGCTCCCCCGCATCGACGTGGAGAAGACCGGCTAAGGCTAGCGTCTCGTCCTCGGCCTTGCTGGTCGACCGCCACGTCAATGCCCGAGCGATATACGAGAGCGAAAATGGAGAGGGTCCCTGTCCGGGCGGCCTGCCGTCGAGGTTATCCCGGTAGCTGGAGAGACGGTGAACCTCAAGGATCAGGGCCATGATCAAGGGATCGTCGAAATCCCCGTCCTTGGTCGGGAGGAGCGCGTCGTAGCTGACGATGCCGTCGGAGAATTCGAAGTATAGCTTGTGGGCGAGCATGGCTTCCTGTAGGGTCCAGAGCCTCTGCATCCATCCGGACGTCAGGACGCGCAAGAGCTTTTCCTCCAAGGGCGCAGTCTTGCTGCATGCGTGTATACCTGCGTCGATGACCAGGACGGCGGAGGCGTTGATATAGGTGCGGGCCATGTATCTAATGGCCAGTTTCCGCGAGATTCGTTCGTTCGGGATGCACAGGGCATCGATCCAGAACGCGCCTCCTGGGAGAAGAGAGCTAGTCATGGTGGAGAGGCGAGCTACTTGACAGGCAGGCAAGCCTCTCTCTGTGTCGCTGCCAAGGCCGTCAGCCCATACGTGGGAAATGGCGACATAGGGGGTGTCGGAGGCGGCTTGGATCGACATGCCCGTCTCCTGCTTCACAACCACGGGAACGACACCTGCCGAGAGGAGCGATTGGACGGCCTCAAGGGAGACTGAGGAAGGAGCGCAGGTGCAGGTGCCGGGAATGTGTTTGGTGGTATAGTTGGCGGTATCCACGTTGTTGAGTTTGCAGGCCAGTTTCGTGCACCCGCTGTGCTCGTCCGGGCTAGTGCGAAAGACAGGTCGCAGCGTCTTGGCGTACGTGGAAGACATCAACCCTTGTCCGGAGTTCTTGATGACGGAGACGGCAAACGGACACCACCCGTCTGAAACAAGCTCTTTTGACAGTGGACTGATGATGTGGAGCGAACTGAACATGTAGGTGTTCGTCCTAGGGGGGCAATCGTTGACGGGGTAGTTGTGCTGGACAGTGAGCAGGCCCTCCACGATTGCGCCGATCATGCAGAGGATGGCTGCGACTGATCCCCCTCCCAGCCTTGCTCGTCGAAACGAGCTCTCCGCAGAATGCGTGAGCTCCGCAGAGAGGAAGTCGTTTGCAGCACGTATCGCGAGCCCAACCCGCGTGGCCCAGCGACGAGAACGCCCTGGATCTCGAAAGGTATGCTGGCTGATGCGGTAGCGCCAGTCCCGCAACAGGACTGGGATGTTCTTTGCGCTGAGCGCGAAGGCGCCGTTGTCGGAGACCGAGAGCAAGAACGGTTCAGGTACTTTGATCCACATGGTCGCCTCCAGGAGGCCGAAGGTCCACTTCGCCTGCAACAACGCGGCGAGCTGTCGAGGAGGCAAAGAAGCAATATCGGTGCAACGAATCGAGAGATAGTCCTCCAGAGGGACGAGGGGATGGCCATCGTGATTTCCTCCGAGCCAATCACAGTCAGGAAAGATATATCGACGATTTGTGGGCTTGTAGGGAGGGCGTAAGTCAGAGTGCCCCGATGCGAAGTCGATATTAGAAGGTGGGATTGGGGCCTCTGGCGGTTCCGACAAATGCGTGCCTTGGGCCTTGTGATGAGTCCATCATACAAACTGTGTCTTATAAACGGGAGAATGCCCTTACCGGAATGCTCAAGAGCGTTTGGCTTCTGCATCGTTCGAACCTCAATTTGAAGATCAATATCCGAGGTACTGTACCAGTGTGCTTGACTTGTCAGGATTTATCGTTGCGATCAGTACTCCAGGGAGTGAACGAAGGACGTGCATGAATCTTAACTCGGCCTCCCAGTGCGACTCTGAGCTCGCTGAGCGAGAGAAACCTGCGCATGCGATCGGGAGCTCCCGGGGGTCATAGAAGTGCTACGATAGAAGGGCTTATCAGATCTCAGATCTCAAGCCGTTGGTCAGGCTACCCCCGACGTCGTATGGCACGAGCTTACGATCTCCGAGCTCTTTCAGGGCTCGGGGCTCCCTTGAGGTTGTAGCGGCGAACGACATGAGGAATGGGTACAGGCTCTGCTAGGGCCAGACGGTCTATTGCGTAGTACGAGTACGGGTACTGCTGACTCATGTTGATTTGATGGCGTCTGGACTGGAGGTCTTCGGTTGGTCTGCAATGTCACCTTGCGACGATAAAAACAGTGAGTAAGGTTCAAACTGCCCCGGTGAGGCTCGAACTCACGACCTTCCGATGTTGCGACCTATTCGCATAGACCTTAACAGTCGGACGCTGTAACCAACTCAGCCACGGGGCACGCCAACTTCTCAATAAAATTGCATCTGTGTATACGTCATGTACCGTAAATACAAGTGTGGCTTACAGCCATCCCTGCCACTATGGTCCTATCGATGATCGATGATCGTCCGTCGACGTCCAACCAAGCCCGACCAAAACGCTCTTCAGCCTGGCTCAGGAAGATCCTGTACAATGTAAAAGTTACCCATCGAGCCCATTCCCTGGGCCCTGCCTTCAGGAGGAGCTTAGGGATGGGTACCAGTGGGGCCTGCGGAGACGCCATTGAAGAAGGACAAGGCTCGCGCCGGTTACCGATGCACTCGACCACTATTGTGTGTTCATGTGGTGCTGAGAGCGCCGAATGTAGAGGTATATGACGGGCCCATTGGTGAAGCTCCAGAGAAAAACGCCGCGAGCGCACTGCCTATCGCGGGGGCGAACATGATGAGCGGGTAGGGGAACCTGTTGGCAGGCTGTCAGGTGTCCGAGGATGACTTGACCGATGGTCGCCAACATATTGTGCCATGCGAGGATAGCGGCGGTCGTGACTAGGTTGGATATGGCTCGAGTCGTCAACATCGCAATTTGGAGCGACACAGGGAACTGTCCGAGGGGTTGCGAGTGGCAAATAAGAGAGAGCAGGCTGCAGAACTTAAGGGCAGACACCACTGCTGCCAATCAAGTTTCGAGGGAATTAGCTTTGGGCCGCTCTGAGCTGCGTGGAATCCGGTCGTCAGCGGCTCCGAGTCTGGATCTCAAGCAACGCGACCACTGGCATCGTGCAGAGTAATGTGACAAGGACGAGGACGTCCGGCGCCGAACGGGGGCCCCCTTCTCGATCATAATGTGCAGCAGGAGTGGGAACGCGAACCCACCCTCGCCGTTCCCAGAGAATACGATACCGCCAGCGAGACCACGGCGAGGCTCGGAGAACCACTCTGAGAGGAGCTTGTATGCGGGCATGGAGAGCCTCCGATCCCGATCCCGACAACTACTGCACTGCCAGTGGAGATGGATGGGGATTCTTTGAGCGTGATAGTGAGGACGCTGCGGCGGTACGGACCTGCAGGTGTTGCGAAACTGTAGGGGCCAGTGGGTTCATCAAAGACAGGAAGTATGCCACCAGTCCGTCATGGTCCTTCCACGGGAAATGGGGCCTACGGATTGAAGGGCGTGGTGCCATACCGTGGCGGAATCCGTCGATACGCACCAGTGGTGCTTATGTACCTCGGTGAGAGCAGACAAGCTCGTTTGATCATGACGAGTCTAGCCTTGGCGCCCAGGCTATCTTCCACAAGAACCCCACCCTTGTGCTGGAGTTTGCAGCGGTTGTACTACTCCGTCCGAGAATGCGAATCCGAGTCGTCGATGATCGAGGTTTCAAGCTCAAGTTGAATATTCACGGACTCATACTCGTATCGTTCAATGGTTGTACGCTCCGTCTTGCCTGGTAGTACTGCGAGGAGAGTCCTCGAGTTCGAGTGCAGTTCGACGTGAACGTTCACCTAGACCATAACTTGAAGTTAAGAGGTCATGATAATGTTGGCATCGCCACAGAGGCCGAGGCGGCGCTTTGTGAGATCTCGATCTGGCGCGCCTACATAACCCCAACGTAAGTGCCAGCTGCCATCTAGTACCGTTGTACCATGAGGTACGAGTAACGAGAGGCTGGCATGGTAGCCCAAGTCCCGGGAACCCCGGCGCTGAACAAGTGAATTCGTGATCCTAGGACATCGCGTGAAGGCTCTTGTCACTGGTCAGATGAAGACACGCACACCGGCGTACCTTGAATACAATGATCATTCCCTGGCGGTGCGACCTCGGTGGCAGTTGGTATCGATGCATGTCGTACAAAGTTCCGGCATACCTCGCCGGCCTATTATGCCTTGACAGATGCCCACATGCCCTGAAATCTTCCCGATGATGGCCTTGTCCCCCGCACTTGACAGCATATCGGAATTCGCCCTCGCACTCGCACCACGGGCGTGAGGTCCTACGCAAGTAGCATCCCAGTGCGAGCGAGAGGCACACGAGAGGAAGTTGGTTATAGGGGGTTCCCAGAGCCCAAGGCCCATCCATTAAAAGAGGGCGGTCTATCCGCACAGCAGCGCGCCGACCCAGTGTCGAGCATAAGTAGTCTACATGATGCGTAAGAATACAACAAGCAAATCCAAGCCATATCGGGAGAACAGCCATCAAAGCATGGGGGAGGGAGCGGCACAGCACTCGTCATTAACACAGAACACACAACAGGCGAACATCGCGAACGAAGGGGAACACTTCAGGGAGAGCGGGAGGCACCCGGCCTAAGAACGACTCGGGACCGCGAACAGAGGCGGAGAACGGCTTCAGTTCTTCTTGCCACCCGCGAAGCCGCCCTGGACGCCGGTCTGCTTGCCCGTGTTCTTGCCACGGATGGCACCGACCGAGGGCGCGGCGGGCGCAGCACCGGCGTTGTTCCCGCCGTTGCCACCAGCAGCAGCGCCGTTGGCGGTGACAGTGAACTGTGCAAATCAGGGCAGAGGGAGAGAGGGTCAGCGCGTGTAGAAGCGAGCGTCGGACATTAGGAAGGAGGGGGAGGGGATACTCACGTAGACGATGTCGTCGAGGGAGCCGTGCTGGGCGACGGCGACGAGCGCGGGCTGGTGGTTCGCGGACGAGTTGATGGACGCCATGCGGTACACGCCCGCGGGGAGACCGCCGGGGACGGTGGCGGAGAGGACGCCGTTCTGGGCCTTGTCGTTGAGGCCCTTGAAGAAGACGAACTGGGTGGGGTCCGTGGGCGTGGTCTGGTCGAGCGAGTTGATGCGCTCGATGACGACGTGCGAGTGGCCGTTGATGTTGCCCGCGCCGTCGACCGTCTGGGGCGCGGCGAAGTAGTTCTGGTTCGGGTTCGTGAAGAAGCCGGTGTTGAGGTTCCGGATCGCCATCTGGAGCGTGAAGTCCTGGTTCGCGGCGATCGTCTGGCCGTTCTTGGGGAAGACGAACTTGCAGGAGGGCATGTTCGCGGTGGAGGCGATCACACCCAGCGGCGCGGGGTTGCAGGAGCCCTCCTTGATCTGCAGACCGTTGGTGATCTGCTTGTTGGGCACCGTCGCGCAGAAGTTGATAAAGTTGTTCGTCGACGTGGCCGAGGCGACTTGGCCGGCCGTGGGCTGGTCCTGGCCGTCGTTGGCGAAGCCGGTAGCGATAACGGACTGGAGGAGCGCTAGCGAATTTGATTGTTGAACGATGATGGTCAGTAGAGATATCAAAATGGGACTTACTGAGCGACTTCTGCGGGTCCTGGTCGGCTGCAGCGTTGTTGCCGCCAGCAGCCGCGCCGTTACCAGCAGCAGCACCGGCACCAGCGTTGTTTCCGCCCTTGCCAGCACCCTGGTTTCCACCCTGGTTCCCGCCCTTTGCAGGGAAGGCAGGGCCCCTGCCACCGGGGAAGCGAGCGGGGACGGGGTTCTGAGGCTGGCCGGGCCGGCGGTGATGATGATGATGAGCTAGAAGATCGGAGTGTGGACATGCAGGGATCTCACCATGGGGGACGCCAGGGCGGCGGCGGGGAGGAGGACGAGGAGGGCGGCGAAGGAGTGTGCGAACTTCATGGCTGTAGAGACGGTTGGAAAGGCGACGCGAAGCTAGCTTCGTGGAAGAGCGAAAGACCGAGTCTGGGATGGAGACCTGCCGCTGTGTGTGCATGGGGTGGTCAGTTCTCGTTCTGAGATCAGGAGAGAGAGGGAGAGAACGTACAAGGACTGGGAACCGGGCAGCTCTGCTGCAAGAGAGGATAGAAGGAAGGAAGGAAGGAGGGGGATGGGGAAGGCCCTGGGTGGGACGGGAGGTATATATGGCATCGAGAATTGACGGGGAAGATTGAGGAAGAACAAGCAGAAGTCGGGCAGAGGGAGGGGGCGTGGCAGGCTGGGAGAGCGGCAGGGGCGGTCGTCGTTCGCACCGTTGCCAGGGAGACTCGGGGCAGGAGGCAGCTGTCCCTCCCTAAAATTAAAGCCCTCGCTCCCAGTGGACCACTCTCCTCGACACGAACGGCACTCACGCCCGCATCTGGCACGCGCAGCCACAGACACGACGCCAGACGCGTGCTCGCCGAGCTCACCGCGCTCTCCGATTGGCTCGCCGGCCGGTCGAAGCTCGAGAAGCTGTCCATACGTCATCCGTCTACATACACCTCCCGCCCGGCCGCCACCTCAGCCGCCCGCCCCGGGTGAGCGAGTGCAGACAGCGAGCAAGGAGAGCGACGGTCAGAAGCGGGCCATGTCCTTGAGCATGCTCTTTGCCTTGACCGCGCACACAAACGCGGTCAGCGTCTGCACCTCGTCCACCTCCTGCGTCCGGAAGTGCCGCTCCGCGATCGCCGCCAGCACCCCTTCCACCTCCCCCAGGTCGCTGTACACCGGCGCCGGCGCCGGCACCCGCTCTTCCTCCACCAGCCGAGAACTCCGCCGCCGGTTCCCCCCTCCCTCTCTCCGTGGTCGGTGTGCTGTCGTGCTCGCGACTGCAGGCCCCGGGCTCGCGGTCGACGTCCGGCGCAGCGCGTGCCCGTGCGGCGGCAGCTGGGCTCGGGGCTTTAGCAGTGATGACGGCGGGCCCGGGTCTTCCACCCCGAGCGGTGACGGGTCCAGGACCGGGATCAGGTCAAAGCACGCCAGGTACCGATGCAGTGCATCCGTCGGCAGTGCTGTAAAATCTACCTGTGTGTCGGACCGTTCGTATCAGCCTGCCTGCCACGGACGAGATGCGAGCATCCAACGTTGAACGTTCAACAACAACGGATGGATCAAGAAAGCGAAGATCTGAATCATAACCCAAACAAACCGCTGCTGCCATCCGGCGCGCAGCCCCCTCCCTCTGATGCGCCTGGGAGATTTGGGAAGCACTCCCGTGGCACACCCCAGATATTTCGTGTCAAGGCGACGATGGCTCCACACTGACTTCTGTCCGCGACGGTGACGCAGTGCGCATAAGCGTACTCGAGCACCCTGACACTCGTCGCGTGCTCGTGGCATCGCC